GTCTGTCTGTCTGTCTGTCTGTCTGTCTGTCTGTCTGTCTGTCTGTCTGTCTGTCTGTCTGTCTGTCTGTCTGTCTGTCTGTCTGTCTGTCTGTCTGTCATCCATCCATCCATCCATCCATCCATCTTTCTCAGCTCTTTTTTCACCAGTCCTGTAGGGGGCACTAAAGCACATGCAGGTTAGTTTAACAACCAGCCTTCTCACAAAGAAGAAGTTTATTTTTATTTTTTGTTTCTCAATGTTTTGAGGTGACACACGATGGTTATCACAAGGCGTTTAGATATGTCGGAGCCCAACAATAACTAGGAGTTCGTTCGTTTTTACAGTTTCTATTGCGTCCTGTAGTGAGAGTATGGGTGAGGCTTAAACCAGGCTGTTTTTTTTGTTCAGCAGCAGCAATTGCAGTGACAGGTAATGACTGAAACTATTGCAAGTGTTATGAAGTCCTTGTAGGTTCCGAGAGAGCAGGTCAGGTCTGTTTTTTTTTTTTTTTTTTTTTTCTCGCATGAAGAAGAAAGCTACAGCCATGGGTGGGAAAGCCAGTGTTAATGCTGCTGTCAGAGCGACTGCTGCTACTTCCTCATCATCAGGACATCAGCCTGTAAGTTCTAATAAATTACTGAGACTAATAATAATAATAATAATAATAATAATAATAATAATAATAATAATAATAATAAAATCATTGAATTGTTCTTCAGTGGATGGAGTTTAAACAAGAGATCGACACCCAAGATTTAGGTTTGTGGTTAAAAAAAAAACTCAAAATCAATTTGGTTTGATGCAATTACAATCAAGTAAGAAAATAATACAATCTTTGTTAAAACTAGTTAAGAAATAAGAAAGCTACACAATTTTATTAGAACAAAAGAGTAAAATTTCTCACCACTGTCTCACCATTGTCCCAGATTTGAGGATTGTATAGCTACAAGACTGTCTGGATTGGTGATGAAATTAGAAATTTTGGGGTTTTAGTCCTGAAAAAAATCTTGTATTTCCACTGGTTTAACAGAGATAATTCAGAAAACTTGTAATGATTCGGGTGCAAACACATAAAGGAACATAAATTATTTATTTATTGACATAATTGGATGAAATGTTCGGGAGAAGTAGGAAATGGCATTCTCTTAACATTGGCTACCCATATTCATTATTGATTAATAATAACTAAAACTTAGTGACCTAAAACCATCGTGCGATCAAAATAGGCACACATATTTAAATCAGATAGAGGAAAAAAGGATTATTTTAGGATCAAGTATAAAATAAATGTTGCTATTTTGCTTCCACCCTAGCATCGTCGCGTTCAGGCTCTCAAAAGCTATGTTCTCTTCATCAGATGGTCATGAAAATCAGTCAGTATTTAGATGAAATATTGTAACTTTTGCATAAAACAGCTAGATAATTTGAACAAATCAATACTTTGACTTGATTCTTCTGCCCATCTCAGTACTCTCTGTAATGCTATTATTTCCAGAGTACAGTCATTAATGTAAGTCTAGGGCTACTCCAAAATCTCTTTGTTGATACTGCCAAATTGAGTCATTGGGCCTCATGCAAGAACCGTTCGTACGCACAGATTTGTTCTTAAATTGTGCGTACGAGTTATTTAGGA